TGATCACAATGAAGACCGACTCACGACACTAAAACTAAGGTCTTCGTTCTTGGTCTTCTTTTAGCTCTTGTTCTTGTCTTCCTTCTTCGCCTTGTATATTCAAAGTTTGACTTGATCACGGCGGTTTGGCATTATCAAAACCTGTCATAAGAACAAACACGGCTTTAGTACGAAAACGTGACATGCCCGTGTTTCAACAGCTTTATTGTGCCGTAAATCCTGATGACTACCGCAAGATCTCTTGCTGCTCAACTGCCAAAGAGATGTGGGATAAACTTGAGGTGACGTACGAAGGAACGGACCAAGTACGTGAAGCCAAGATTGACTTCCTCACCCAAGAATATGAGATGTTCAGGATGAAGGAGCACGAGAAGATCGATGATATGTTCGACCGTTTTTCCAAGATAGTCAACGATCTCCATGCATTAAAGAAAACATACACCGACAGGGATCTTGTGCGAAAGATCCTACGGAGCTTGACATCCGAATGGCGATCCAAGGCCGATGCCATCTATGAATCAATCGGCACATCAAATGTCACCATCGACGGTCTAAGAGGTAATCTAAAAACCTATGAATCTACTATTCTTAACTCGTCTTTGAATGACCAAAGGAAAGGGATAGCATTAAAAGCCGTCAAAGAATAAACGATGGATGATTCAAGCGACGATGATGAAGTCAAGCTTGTCATGAAGAAGTTTTGTAAACTTCTAAGGAAGAAAGAAAAGGTTGAGGATGGCCCTGTGTGCTATGGATGTGGTGAAGCCGGGCACATCAAGAATAAATGCCCGAAAAGCGGAAGGAATGCTCGGCAAAAGGCATATATCTCTTGGGGTGGCGACTCCGGCGACGAGTCAACCGATCAAGACGATGATGAAACTGCCAACCTCTGTCTCATGGCACACGAAGACCAAACCGACGATGTACAAGAGGTATGTACCATTTCTTCCGACTCTTACACTTTTGAAGAAATGCAAGAAGCACTTCACAAACTTTATGATGAATTTGTTAGCGCTTCTAAACTCAACAAATTGTTAAAGAAACGCCTTTCCACTCTTGAAAATGATTTTGAAAAGGTCGAAAAAGATAATGAAAAGTTGAAACAAGAAAATAAATTTTATGGCAAAAGAAGCGCCGACAAACCAGAAAGTTCCTCAAACGAATGTGAATCTTGCAAAGCTTTAGAGGAACAAGTCACAAAACTTGAGGGTACGGTCAAGAAATTTTATACTCCGCACAAAGATTTAAATTTGCTCCTTGACACCATGCATTTTTCTAAGGAAGGAACAGGTTTCAATAAAAATGACGCTAAAGTTAAACAAAACGTTGAGCCACCACCTAGACAACCATCCAAGGTTCAACGTAAGAAACCTTGGCTAGCCGTAGTTTTTACTCAAATGACGTGGTTTTTAAAGTAACTCACTTGATTTCTTAGCCAAATACATCAAATAAGTGTTTTAAACACTTGATTTTAATTTTGGAGAACTTTGGATTTTTCAGTCGGTTTTTGCATCGGTTGGCTAGGCCGTGGTTAAGGCAAAGACCATAGGTTTTTGGCTAACCACCCACCCAGCGATGGGAAGATCTTCCCATCGATGGGTAAGCGGTCCCTTAGCCAAACCAACTTCCAGAACCATGCCAAACAGCGATGGAAAGCTCTACCCATCGCTGTTAAAGCCTTGGTGCAAAATTAACACAAGGCAGAACAACCTTACCCGGCGATGGGAAACCTATCCCATCGATGGGAACCTAGCGATGGTAAGGGTAAACCATCGATGGGAAGGCATGACCGTTGGAAGTCATTTAAGGTTGATTCTTTCCTTATTTGAAAGTCAACCTCCCACCCAGCGATGGGAAGCATCTACCCATCGATGGGTAGGTGACCGTTGCCTTCAAAACTGAAGGAAAATTGGCTTACCAGCGATGGTTGAGTCTAAACATCGATGGGAAGCCAATATCCTGCAGATCCCAAATTTATTCAATTCCATAAATCAAGCCAATCACCCCTTTAATGTATTGGTCCGTTGGAGCCTATTTTGGCACTATAAAAAGGGGTGTTTGGGTCTGCTTTACACATCAATTCACTTCACAATATTCATATTATCATTGCATTCAAACAACATCATTTTTCATAGCTTTCTAGAGCCAATTTGTGAAGTTTGAGTTGTTCTTGAGCGTATATA